CCCCCCCCCCCCCCTTCTGCCTACTCCAGAGGTGTATGTAGGTGGTTGGAAAAAATAACCGAAATGGAATTGTGTATCATCGTATTCTATCACTGAATGACGCCCACCCCCCAACAAAAAAAAACCCGGATCCTCTTTTATTTTCGAAGGGCCCTTTGACTGACGTCTCATGATAAACTTCGCTGCCGTTCCTAGTTTAACTTTGCAGTTCGACAGCCTAAACTGGTTTACTCTATGGTTTATGCAGTATGGTTTGCTGCCATCTGCGAAGAGATGGGATCCTAACCGATTCCTCTTTTCCCCACTCCCTCCCCCCACCCCACGTGCTGAGGTCAACCCAGTTGCGTTACTATGTCCCTGATTTGATATCTAGTAATCGGATCAGGAATCACAATGATTCAACCGTTCGCTGAATAAACTTGCTGAGCCATCAGCAGTATTCGATGTTAAAGGGTTGCTTCTCAGGTATGCAGTGGTATATTATGCCACTGTTGGCTTTCTGATACTGGTGTCAAAAGACTATTGGTCAAACTCACTTCACCTTGTTCGATACTACGATCTAATGTTTCAGTGCAGAATTTGAGGGAGGACTTTACTGTGTCGGGTGTCATCTCATAGGTTACTTGTGGTGGTGTTTCTTTTGAAGGAACTGTTAAACAGATCTCAGCAGTCCCATCAAGTATTTGAGACTTCATCTTTCTGTAGAAAAGAAAACATCTATTTGTTCTGAGATAACAAGGTGTATTCTAGGGTCTAGGCCCGAAACGTCAGCTTTCCTGCTCCTCTGATGCTGCTTGGCCTGCTGTGTTCATCCAGTGCTACACCTTGTTATCTCAGATTCTCCAGCATCTGCAGTTCCTACTATATCTATTTGTTCTGGCTAGCATTTACTTGAGCAGCATTATTTGCCAATTTATCTCATTGGTTCATTCTTTAAATAAATTATTGCCGTGTTTCCCTATATTACAACTGCACATCGAAAGTAGCATGAAGTGCTTTAGGATGTTGTAAAGTCATAATATAAACAAAACTTGTTGTTTGTTCCTTGAATTGTATTCTGCAACTGAATCTAATTTGCCATAAAAATAAAATTTTGGATTGGCCTAGGTAAGCCAGGGCAGTATCTTCTAAGCAAACAGGCTGGAAATTGAGAAAATTACTCTTCTAACTTGTAAATATTGGGGGGTAAAGTATTGTCTTTACACTTAGTACCATAATCTATTGTGCTTGTGCTTTGAGCTGCTAAATGGGCGAGCTGCTAAATGGACATGCTGCAAGCAAACATTTTGTGTTGGGTTGAAGCTAAATGCCATTTCATATGCCAGATAAGTTGTATATTAGCTGCCTCTGTGAATAAATTGAACAGCTCGACGGTACCTCTCCACACATTCCTGATGGAGTCTCTGCGTTAGTTGATCTGATAAGTGTACCCTTGCCTTGGGAGGGAATGGTACGAAACACAAGTATTTACCATGTCCCTGGTAATCTAATCAAGAATCTCAATGTTTCAGCTGCTTGCTGAGCCATTAGCAGGAATTTGACATCATAAGATTGTTCCTGAGTTACAAGTGCACTGTGTGGTATTGGTGTCAGCTTAATCTACAGCATAAAACATGTATGTTTATGGAATGAAGTTAGAGTAGGCAATGACAGTGGAGGGGGGAGCAATTGGTAACTGGATGCTAACAAGCACAAACTCATCTTGCTAAAGATTACCTGTACCCAGCTACTGTATATCTATACAGATGGTTTCCACAATTAGCAGAAAATTGACAATCTTGGGAAGAAAGAATGCGTGTAGAAGCTGAATCTGTAACCAATGTGGCTTACTGCATTGTGGGAAGGAAACTGAAGAAAAAAGCTTTTGGCCAATCATATTTTTCTGAATTAAATCTGAACTAGGCAAGTATCGGCAAATTTTGAATTCAATTTGTGTTCTTGTATCTTGGAAAGAGATCAGAGTGATGCATTGAAAATGTCTTTGGCAGCTTCATTTTATGAAATTAGTTTTGGGAGTGTAGAAAGCAAACCCTGTAGATATGATTTCATTGTCCAAAATTATTGGTGTGGGCTAAATTTGCAATAATGGCATGAACCATGACTGGAGGAGGGAAGGCAGGTGGTAACTGAGTGCTGGCAACCACAGAAACTCATTACTATGCTGAAGATTGCGTGGACCTAGCTATTGGACAGCTACACAGATGCAGTGTTTGCTTGACTTTGACTGCGCATGCTTGAGGTTGAGTCTGTTTCAAAGCTGCTGAATTTAAGGGGTAATGCTGAAAACAGTACTTTCCAAAAAAGGATGAAACCTGATGATCATTTGGAAAGGAAAAAAATTAAGGCATGCACAATATTTCTTAAAACCATTTTGTACTGCAGTGTAATAAGGCTTAGTCCTGACATCTAAATTGCGCTATTTCAAAGTCTTTACTTTTCCTCAGCTGAGCAGTCCCTCCTTTCCACCAGTGGGTCCCTTGCTATGTTTCCTGCTGCTTTTGTCCTTCCTCTTCTTTTTCCAACCGAGTTGCCATTGACCTTGACCATGCACTGATTACAGTCCATCCATTTTTGTCATCCCCCAACACGATGTTACCTAAACCACATACTCCCTCCAGCCACACCTGGTCCCTTGTTTCTGCTCTGGCACCCTGATCTCCTCAGCCACCACCAGTGGCTCTTCCTTTTCCAATCCTTGTGCACAAGATATAGCACCTGCCCTGTTGCCTTCTTCCTTGCCCTTGTCCATAGCATTTAGCACCTACTGGTGAAACAAAGATTTACTTTATACTTATGGTTTTATATACTGTATTCACAGCTCACAATACAATCTCCTTTATTAAACAGATTGGGTGGCCACTTTCTGGACCATCTCCATTAAGCATGTAGATGTGCCTTTAGCTTCCAGTTGCCTATTATTTTTTGTTTGCTGCATTTCTATACTGACCACTTTGCCCTCAGCTGCTGGCACTTGTCTGATGAAACTTGCGTAAACTTCCCTATTTGTTTGAATGGTGGCTATTGGCAATTGTCCTATTGTTGCATTGTTCCTTCCTGTTGATTCATCTTTCGATCCTTTAAGTGGCCCTTTTGCCCTGGAGTGTTATCTCTTTTGTCAATTAATCAGTCCTGCTTTTTCTATCCTATCATAGACCTTACTTTTTGTTCTTTTCCCCTCCTCAGCACCCCTTTCCCTGCTTATGCAGTTAGAATCTGCTGTAATTTACTTTTTCCAATTCTGGTGAAAAGGTCTATGACCTGAAAGGTCAACTTTGTTTTTGTCTCCACAGATGTTGTCTGATTAGCTGAGTACTTCTAGCATATCTTGATTTTATTATGTTGAATTGGTTTCAGAAGTGTGACACATGAGCTCAATTATCTTTACTCGTAAATTACATATGAGCAATCTATAACATACTGAAAGTTAACAGTGGATTCCTGTATTTGCTTTTTTATTCAAACGTGCAGTGTGGGTGTCACTGGTTAGGCCATTGTCGATTGCCCATCCCTAATTCTCCTGGACAACGTGGAGTAATATGCATCCTTTTAAATGCTGCATTTCTTGTGGTGTAGGGGTAGCCACAGTGCTGTTTGGAAGGGA